GCGTACCAACATCAGAATTATAGGGGTGCCAGAAGATGAGAGAGAGCAAGATATTGAAAACCTATTTGAAGAGATAATGACAGAAAACTTCCCCTACTTGGTGAAAGATATAGAGTTACAAGTCGAGGAAGCACGGAGAACCCCAAACAAAAGGAATCCAAAGAGGACCACACCAAGACACATCATAAATAAAATGCCAAGAGCAACAGACAAAGAGAGACTTTTAAAAGCAGCAAGAGAAAGAAACTCAGTTACCTACAAGGGAATACCCATACGACTGTCAGCTGATTTCTCAACAGAAACTTTGCAGGCCAGAAGGGAGTGGCAAGAAACATTCAAAGTGATGAATGCCAAAAACCTACAACCAAGATTACTTTATCCAGCAAAGCTATCATTCAGAATTGACGGTCAGATAAAGAGCTTCACAGATAAGGAAAAGCTAAAGGAGTTCATCACCAACAATCCAGTATTATCTGAAATGCTGAAAGGTATCTTTTAAGAAGAGGAAGAAGAAGAAAAAGGTAAAGATAAAAATTATGAACAACAAATACATATCAACAAGTGAATCTAAAAATCAAGTGAATAAAAAATCTGATGAACAGAATAAACTGGTGAATATAATAGAATCAGGGGCATAGAATGGGAGTGGACTGACAATCCTCGGGCGGGGGGAAAGGGATGTGGGGGTGTGGGAAGAGAGAGGACAGAAATCATATACTTGTGGATGAGGACAGTGGAAGGGGTAAGGGCAGAGGGTGGAATGAGAACCGGGTGGAGGGGAGCTATCAGGGGGGAAAAAAGAAGAACAACTGTAATAATCTAAACAATAAAGATTAAAAAAAAGAATATATAAAGAATGCTTACAACTCCATAATAGGAAGATAATCCAGTAAAAAGTAGGAAATGCTTTGAATAGACATTTCACCAAAGGAGAAATATAATGGCCAATAAACACATGAAAAGCTACTCAATGTAAGAATGGCTTGACTAAAAAATAAAAATTAGTAATTCTAAGTGTTGGTGAGCATCTGAGGAAACTGAAACCCTCTTGCATTGCTCGTGGTACAAAGCCAGTATGACAAGGAATTTGGCAGTTTCTTAAAAAGCTGCACATAAACTCACCGTATAACCTAGCAATTCCACTTTTAGGGATTGACTCCATGGAAGTGAAAATAATCTGTCCCCACAGAAATATGTATGTACAGTCATGTTCATGGCAGCATTATTCATAATAGTCCGAAACGGAAAACAATCCCAATGCCCATCACCTGATAAATGGATAAACAAACTTACAGTATATTCATACAACGGGGAAGTATTCATCAGTAAAAAGGAACAAACTACAGACGTGAAGCAGCATGGGTAAACCTCAAAAACGTTAAGTGAAAGAAGCCAATCACAAAAGACTTCAGAATGTCTGAGTTCATTTCTATGAACTGTCTAGAAAAGGAAGATTTACAGAGAGAGCAGGTCAGTGGTTGCTTAAGACCTGGGTAGGAGTGGGGATTAACTAAATGCACAAGGTATTTTATAAGGGTGTTGGAAATGTGGGAATTGTGGAAATGGTTACACAATTCTAAATTTTTTATAATCATTGAATTCTACACTTACACAAATAGGTGAGTTTTTTGAAATAAATTGTACCTCAATAAAGTTGTTTTTAAAAGGGAGGATGCTACTTTTCTCATAGAGGTTCTTGTGAGGATTTATTAGAACAAGTGCCAGGTATAAACTAGGCGTTCAAGAGATGACAATTATTGTTATTATTTTTGATATGTAACAGCAGTATCTGGTAAAGATCCCAGAGTCGGCCACATAGAAGCTGAAAATCCTATTGTTAAAAAGAAAGAAATAACGAAAGAAAGATAAAGAGAAAAAGAAAGGAAAAAAAAACCTAGCTCAGTGATGGCGAACCTATGACACACGAACTCATTTTTTTGGTTGATTTTTCTTTGTTAAATGGCATTTAAATATATAAAATAAATATCAAAAATATAAATGTTTGTTTTACTGTGGTTGCAAATATCAAAAAATCTCTATATGTGACACGGCACCAGAGTTAAGTTAGGGTTTTTCACAATGCTGACACGCCGAGCTCAAAAGGTTCGCCACCACTGGTCTAGCTCAAGCCTAATTGTGTGTGATGTCATTTACTGACTTCTCATTCAGGGTGGAGTAGAGCAGTGACATTTTTGAATTGTGAAATCATAGCAAAGAGTGACAAACTTTTTCTATTTGTAATCTTTCCTTTTCAGGGGGAGTAAAGCTCGGATTAGGAGATTTCATTTTCTACAGTGTTCTGGTCGGAAAAGCTTCCGCCACAGCCAGTGGAGACTGGAACACAACCATAGCCTGTTTTGTAGCCATATTAATTGTAAGTATACACTCATAAAAACATGTCAGAACACCTCATCTCAGCTCTGATTCAGGCAGTCCCATTTTAACCCCAGCTGGGCTGAGTGTTCCAATCACCTGGGAGCTTTTCAAAAACAAAGCTCACCTGAGACCTCACCTGAGTAGTTCTCCACTGGGCCACACATTAAAATCACCTAAGACCTTTTAAAACTGTGTCCCCATCCTGAGATATTCTTATTTAATTTGTTTCAATTGTGTATCTTATTTTTAAAGTTCCCCAGGAAATTCTGTAAGTACTTCTGATTAGGAACCAATGCTTCAGGCAGCATAGACATGTTGGAAATTAGCTGTATCTTTAAAGGGCTGAGTAGATCCTCACTTAGTGCCTGAGTTTGGTGGTGGTTTTTGCATTTAATCCACAACCTGCAGGGTACAGAGTTCCTTTGGGCAGCAGGTATGAGGCGAGAAAAGTTAACACAATGCATGATCTCCTATAGATCTTGCGCATAGAGCCACAACATGAATCCTGAAGCTTTCAGAACTATGATTTTAAGTAAATAACTCAAGATATTTCTTACTGCCGTTTTTTTTTTACTAAAGATGTTCTCTTTGATGTTTCATATGCGAGTGAAGTTACATGACAGCCTTTATATTGCATTTATTTTGTGATTTATAGTGATAATCTAACCAGTTAGAATTTTCTTGTATTTTATTTCTTTTGAAGTTAATTTTCTGGATGTGTTGTATCTTTTAAGAAGAAAAGTATTTATTCTGGATAAACCTAAAATGATGCTTAGCTTCCAGAACTTATAGTTAGTGTCTCAATAACTAGAGTAAAAATTGACTATATTATAGGGCTGTTCTGTTTCCAAGAGAGCAGCAATATAATTTTCATAAACTTAAAAAAAACAAAACTCCTCACCCGAGGATATGTCTACCGATTTTAGAGAGACAGGGAGGGAGGGAGAGAGAAAGAGAAAGATCAATTGGTTGCCTTCCCCATGGGCCCTGACCAGGGATCAAACCTGCAACCTAGATATGTGCCCTGACCGGGAATCGAACCCACAACCAACCAAACCACCTGGCTGGGGCACTTTTATAAACTTTTATCGGCATACTCTGTGTATCTCTTTGCCCACCCCCCTTCCACCCCCAGCATAAAAAATGCTTTTCAAATCTGGGATTTTATTTTATTTTTTAAAATATATTTTATTGATTTTTTACAGAGAGGAAGGGAGAGAGATAGTTAGAAACATCGATGAGAGAGAAACACCAATCAGCTGCCTCCTGCACACCCTCTACTGGGGATGTGCCCGCAACCAAGGTACATGCCCTTGGCTGGAATCAAACCTAGGACCATTCAGTCTGCAGGCCGACGCTCTATCCACTGAGCCAAACCAGCTAGGGCAATTCTGGGATTTTAGGCAGCTAAACTTAACTGGGAGTAGCCAACTCAATATTTTAGATAGAATTTTTGGTATTACTTAAATTTTTTAAAGAATAGTTTACTTATTTTCAGGTTCTATTTCTAACCTAGAATTAGGGAATGAAGAATCAAGAATGTGTGCATCATGAATTCTGTGTTGCAGAGGAAAATAAAAGTTGTTTCCGGGTTTAATGGGAACATTTGTTCTAAAATTTAACCTCAGAGGATTGTATTCAATTAACTAAATTAAATGTGAGACTTGTGATTAAGTTGTTTTGCACAAAATACTTTCAAACTGATGTCTGGGTTGTGTCTTGGCCTCTCTCCCCCGCAGGGTTTGTGCCTTACATTATTACTCCTCGCCATTTTCAAGAAAGCATTGCCAGCACTTCCGATCTCCATCGCCTTTGGGCTTGTTTTCTACTTTGCCACAGATTATCTTGTGCAGCCCTTTATGGACCAGTTAGCATTCCATCAATTTTATATTTAGCAGATTTGTGATGAGACTTCCATGGATTTTTCTCCTTTGACTATAATAAAATCTGGGAAGAACAACGGTGATTTTCCTGTGTCTACATCTAACAAAGTCACAATTCCCAGCTGGACTTTTTGTAGCTTCCTTCCACGTCTTCCTGACCACCTGCACTATTGGCCATTGGAAGGAGGTGTCTACAGAAAATGGTTTTGAACACACATCATTGTGGTGGACAGAGTCCCTTGGAAAAAACTACCAGATTTTAGGGACAAGGACAAAGAAAAACGATGGGCCAAAAAGTTGCTGTGCTCCCACCAGCAGCTTCAGAGGTGGATTCTACCAGCACTGCAGACTCTCAGGGCTGCCATCAGCACAGTGTTAAATAGAGTGGTTAAACCAAACAGGACTCATCATCGTAAACGTGTGTAAACCTAATCAGTCTGTATGGAACTCTAAACCTTTTCAGGAGGTACTGTGAGGAAAGCAGGTACCAGCAGCAAAATGGGAAGGTGAAAAGGGGTTCAGACTTTCACTCTCAAACTTTTTTTGCTGCAAACTTATCATTTTTTAAATAAGACTTTTTTTTCACCTTGGGTCAAGTCAGATGTGTAAGTTGATTTTGACGATTTTTGTTCTCAAGCACTGAAACTCATTACCATCTATGGTTGCCATTTCCTCCCAAGGCCAGTATGAATTTCTTTGAGGTTGCTTTATCTCAAAAGTGTTAACCTCAGGTTCCAAGTTCAGTAATTTCTGGAAATAATGGAACTATAACAACGATTCTCTATCATCCTTAGGTAATTCTGGTTTTGCCCCCATATTCCTAATTTTTAGACAGACTTGTAGGTTTGCTTGCCCTCGATGCCTTCTTTGTGCCCTGTCTCTCCCTTCACTCCCCCCATACACGGTTCTTTCATAAGACAGCTCTGTTGTGGAAGCAGACGATCCGTTATCTAGGATTTCCTTTGTGTGGTGCACAGAATGTGTAATGAATCAGTGCTATCAGCCTTGCTGTCATAATTTCTCAGTAGCAAATACAGTGTGTGCCCAAAGACAGTCGCATTAAAGAAGAGGAAATGGGTGGTGAAGCACTTCCTGTCCTGGTTTTCTTTTTTTAGTACAACCGAGTGTCTCTGACAGTAGGTCAGAGTTCAGACCGATAGCCAGGAGCTGGTGGTGTAGAAAGGCAGGAATCAGGTGTCTGTGCCAAGCAGGAGATGAGGAACCCATTATTGCCCTCAGTGAGCCGGCGGAGAGCCAGGTGCCGACAGAAGATAGAGGGGCCTCCACAGCCAGTGGCACCAGATGAGCTCATGTCCTGTGGGCAGATAAGGAGGTCCAAGTGACTCCTTCAGAACCTCTCAGTGGGCGCTTGGTGGTTTCCCTTCTGCCTTGCCTTTGGTCTCCGTGTACCTTTGTGTGAACTGGGCAGTGCGGTCAGGCCCAGGCCATTCAGCTGGACACGCACATAAACAGAGCCAGTGCCTGTGGGCACACGGCACCTCTAAACGAGGCTTTGCCAGGGCACAACCTTCTGTTGCCGCAGGCCCCTCTGGGCCAGTGACCAGACCCTAAGCGTCTGTGAGGAACATAGCCTCCATCTGGCGGGAGAGAGACCCGCGCTCCTCGTCCTGCTGCCGCTTTCCCTCAGCCTGTCGTACAGCCCGGGCTGGGCTGCTTCTCCCGGAGGGTAGGGTGTTTGCTTCCTGTCGTGGGACATCTCCCAGAAACTGCCTTGAGCAGCAGCGCGCTGGGACTGACCTGAGTGCAGTGAAAACTGGCTCGTGTTAGGCGGTTGAGAACTGGGGGAAAACAAGCCGTGCAAAGAAAGCCAGGCTGAGAGGAGTAGGTGCTCTCCTGTGTTTTTGTTTGTTTAGCCCAGGGGTGGGCAAACTTTTTGATTGTCGAGGGCCACAATGGGTTCTTAAACTGGACCGGAGGGCCAGAACAAAAGCACGGATGGAGTGTTTGTGTGAACTAATATAAATTCAAAGTAAACATCATTACATAAAAGGGTACGGTCTTTTTTTTCAATAGTTTTATTCATTTCAAATAGGCCGGATCCGGCCTGCAGGCCATAGTTTGCCCACGGCTGGTTTAGCCCCTTTTCCCCAAGATTCTCTTTTTCTCCTCAGACAAGTGGCAGTGTCGTGGGTACTCCAGAAAGACACACCTTTCAACAGCTACCGCAGAGCCCCCTGAGCACCAGTCTGATCTGAAGCTGCCTTGAGGGAACCCTAATCTGGAGAAATTTATCTGTGCGAGGGTCCTCCTCTCAGAAGGGGGCGTGTGCGTGTGTTTAGATCCTGTTACTGTCCTGGGTAGAAAGATTGCAATAAATCTGTCACTTTCTACAAGATGGAACCACATCTCAGCACAGAGAGAGCACATCGTCTTCTTTAAATCACCAATCTCAGACACAGAACTTTGTTTTCAAATCTTTTTAGAATCAATTCAGTCATTCCTGAAATTTCAAAATGCTAGTCTTCCACCGGAAAATACCGATTGTCACTGAAGAGAACAGTAGCAAGTCCACTCAACCGAGGGTGGCCACGAGGCCAGGCCACACAAATGAGAAAGCCTGGCCAGCCGGGCCAGCCCACTCAATGAACGGAAGGAAAACAGTAGGAAAAAGTGGCTGCTAACGTCTGGGTCTAGCCAGCAGAATGAAGGTTTTGTGTACAGCATAGAGCTACAGACCAGCCTGTGGAAGTACCAGGCACATTTGGAAGATGTTTAGTTTTTTCAGAGAGGAGGGGCTCACTTTCCTGTGTTTGATTCTTGGTAGGTTAGTGTGTGGTCTTAGGGTCACAGCTCTCCGTGTGAATGACTAAATTTCTTGATGAGAAAAAAAACAGAAGCTTTCTGAGCAACTTCAAACATTCATAAGTGAGCAAATTACGGATTTCACTATGGAAGCAACAGTCGTCTTATTCATAAATTGTAGAATGTGAGGCAGAAGTTCAGCTACCTCCAGGGCCAGGCGTCTCGAGGAGGCCTCTGACCTGCGCCCGGTGCCCAGCCTCGCAGGTTCCCCACTTGCGATCGAGCCCTGGAAGGAAAGGTTCCGACACGACTACGAAAGGTTTGTTCAGTCTCTCCCGTGGCGCTGGAGTCTAAAGACGCAACAGTGAGTAAGCTCCGTCTTCAGGTGGTTGAGCGTCGACCCATGAACCAGGAGATCACAGTTTAGTTTGATCCCCAGGAGAGGCTGTGCAGGAGGCAGCCAATCAGTTCTCTCTCCCTCTCTGAAATGAATAAAAAACTTTAAAAAAAAAAAAAAAAAAAAGACCTATCCTCAGAATGCAGCTGTAGTCTCTCGTTTTCTGGTATGTGCCATCTTTAACGTCTCTAAAATATCGGGTACTGGTCATTAACGCCCTTCACGGTTACTGTTGTTGAGCGCTTACAATATTGATGTTACAAAGGGGACGTGATTTAGGAAGAGACTTGAAAATTGGACATTTGGTTTTGCTCTGGGAAGAAACAGTATCACCATCCTAAGTGTGAGCCCAGAAGTGATCTTGTGATTTCTCCCGTTTTTAAAATCCCCAAAACACAGAAGGTGAAAAACGATTTCAGCTTTCACAGCCCTCGTTGGAACTGCCGAGCCTTGGAACTGCCGAGCCCGAGTGTACCAACAAGGCTGCCAGCGTGCTCGCGTCCCAAGTCATCTGAAGGCACCCGGTCCCCGCCCCCCTCCGCTAGGAAACATCACAGATTTGTGTGTTAAAAATCAGCCCGGAGCTGAAATGAACCCCTTACTTGAACGTCAGAGCTTTCCCAGGGCCTCCAGCAGCTGCAACATCGCCCTGAGGAAGTAGCTGGGTCCCCCAGGGCCCTGGAGTGCGGTGTTAGCACTTCAGTCTGATCTGCGTAGCAGGGAGGATTTGCCAGAAAGCAATTTTCCTTTTAAAATAAATAATTGTTGCAGCAGGGCAGCTTCAAACTCAACTGTCTGGAGGGGCAAGTCCAGGCCTGTTCTGTGTCCTGTGTGATTGGCGGGGCTGGGATGCGGGCTCAGCGGATCATTTACTCCCACGTGTTCACAAACTTTTTCTGCTCCTGCAGACACTGCCTTGTACGTGATGCAGACAGGCTGTGGATGCATCTTTTTAAAATTCCTTTCAAGTTCTTGGTAAGATGGTTATTTTGATAGATGGTTGCAGATTTCCCTGTGTTTGTCAGAGGAATAAAGGCTGCATGGATCCAGTTGTGTGAGTTTTCTTACATGAAAGTAGTATAATGTGTGAGAGGCGCTCAGCGACGATCAGGAAACAGTTTGAAACACACAGGCATTGTTTCTGCCCTCCCCGCGGAGCACAGTGGAGCGGGTAGTAGCAGGCCGCACCTCAGAAGGTGCAATGTTGAGCCTATGAGAAGTCTCAACATAATTATTCTTAATACTTAGTTTCTGAAAAAATATTTTAAAAAATAATGTTTAACTCAAATTCATGTAAAAACTGTCCAAACAAGAACTTGCAGGACACGTTTGTGGTGGCAGTACAATGCAATTACTTCATGTGCCAGAGGATTATCTTTTAAAAACCATTGAGCAAGTCATACCAACATTACTTTTGTTGGCCTGGTAGAGCACCGATTGTTATCACCATCCCCAAACTCCACCAAACCTCTTGTTTCTATACAGTGAATGCACCCAGAATGTTGGGGTTTACTGATCAGAACTACGTTTGTGGCAGAAGAAACCAAAGCCGACCTTTGCCTTTGGAAGGAGGGTTTACAAGATGAATGTGTCCCTGGCGGCAGTGGCTAAGGGCATCAAGAAACAGGAAAGGCCCCCATGTCCTCTGGAATCAGAGGTGTCATGCTTTTATGAGTCTTGTAGGCAGTGTCACTAGGGTCCCACAGAGGCGTGACGGCTTGTCATCGCTGGGCGAGGTTTCTGATTTCTGGGGCCTCGCTGTGGCGCTCTTGGTGAGAGTGAAGAATGCCCTGGAGCAGGGTTTTCTGCATCACTAGGTAAGTACCACCGTTTTGTGTAGCCCAACTATTTTCTCTGGGGTGCGGATAGGATCTGGTTAAAGGTGAAATGGCACTGTACTTGAGAACAAGCCACACAATGTTCACTCATTGAATTTTTTAAAAATCATTTTTTAACTGATTTCAGAGAGGAAGGGAGAAGGAGAGAGAGAAACATCAATGATGAGTGAGAATCATCGGTTGGCTGCCTCCTGCACACCCTCTACTGGGGATTGAGCCCTCAATCTGGGCACTGTGACCCCTGGTTCATTGGACAGTGTTCAAACACTGAACCAGAGCGGCCGGTTTGAATGGGAGTGCAGGGTAAAAGGTCCACAAAGGACAGGGTAAAGATCGAGTTTCTCCAGAAACATAACATTTGAACCAAATTTGGGAAGAAGGGGAGAATCTGAATTGGCAAAAAAGGCAAAGAACATACACTAAAATCAGGAAGGAAGAAATCTGTGGGAGGTACCCAAGGATCATTGGTGTTCGAGTTCAGATGGTTTATTCGGAGGAAAACGCAATTAGCAAGCCAAATCTGTTTCTGAATGATTGTAGGAACCATGAAGGACGGTGACCTGACCCACCACTGAGGCGCCGTGCCCGACAAGGACTGATCCTCTCGCTGGGCTGGCACTTGTAGCCTGGCATGCTGTGCCTTTGGGAGGGGAGAGACGGGAGAGCCTCCGAAACCAGGTTTGTGAGAGGCCTAGTTCTTGGGAGAAGGGGTGACACACTTGATCCCTCTGTTCATCTGTTGGTTTCTTTCTAAACTTGCTTTAATTATGTAGTAACTTGGTCAATTCCTCATGCAGAAGAGGGACGGATTCTGTTCCCCTTTGACCCACAGCATTCCTCGAGGTGGACTTGACTGTGATTCCTTTTCCGGGGGGAGCAGACCTAGTCAAGAGTGTGCCACGCCAGCACGGCCAAGGGTGAACCCGAGTGGGGGCGATGAAAGGATTAAAAGACAGGAGAATGGAAGCTGAGTCTCGGTGGGACGCTGCCCCTCCACAAGAGGACTGTGCCCTCTCATTAGTCCAAGGCTTGAACCTGTCCAAACACTGTAGCCACGCCCCACACAAGAGCCACTAGAACAGTGGTTCTCATTCTTGGCTGCACATTAGAATTACCTGGGAATCTTGAAAATCCTGATTTCTGGGCCTCATCCTCCAGAAATTCTGTTTCTTTGTTACGGGGTGGGGCCACAACATTAGTAACAAAAAAACAGAATTTCCGGAGGATGAGGCCCAGAAATCAGGATTTTAAAAAGATTCCCAGGTAATTCTAATGTGCAGCCAAAGTTGAGAACCACTGCACTAGAATCAAAGGCACATGTACAGGGTGATTTGAAAGTGGAAACAACATGGGGAGCAGGTGAGCATAGCTACACACGTTCCATAGTTCTGTAATGGTGTGCGTCCCCTCCAGTCACAGCTGTCATAGTGACGGCCACGCCTCCAACACTTGCCAAGGAGCAGGAGAGATTTGGGGCTTCTCCTGACGTGATCATTGGTTTTTCTGTTCACTAATTGGAGTCTCCTATGTCTGCTATGAAATAGCATCTCAGTGAATTGTTCAGAGCAATGACCGGGTTTTAACTTGCCCGAGCCAGGTACATGGGAATGTGTGATTGCCTCAGCTTTTCTGAAATGTTGAAAAGGACCCCCGCACCATTCTGCCATTGTCATGGTGGGGACCTGCCTGGAAGCCTTGTTTGGAGACTCCTGACCCAGCATCCCCATCCCCACCCCCAGCTCAGGGCTCAGCTCTGGAATAACCCAGGCAGAAGGCCACCCTGTTTGAAAAGCATCATCAGGTTGAAGACTGCAACATCCCAGTGGAGGGGAAGGGCTTTTCTTTCCTAGGTAACTGCAGGGGCCTCGGGGCACAGTCTGCGGACACCTGAGGGGTGAGGGCAGCGGTTCTCAACCTGTGGGCAGCGACCCCTTAGGCGGTCGAACGACCCTTTCACAGGGGTCACCTAAGACCATCCTGCATATCAGATATTTACATTACGATTCATAACAGTAGCAACATTACAGTGATGAAGTAGCAACGAAAATAATTTTATGGTTGGGTCACAACATGAGGAACTGTATTTAAAGGGCCAGAAGGTTGAGAGCCACTGGGTGAGGGTGTCTGCTCTCCAGGGCAGGGCTGGGAGAGCTGGGCCAGGCGCTCAGGTCCCCGAAGTGGTGTTCAGAAGTGAGTTCCCGGGTGTGTGAGGGCCTTCAGCCCTGTTGGGTCTCCACAGGGAAGCCAGCCTGCCTGGGGGTTCAAGCGCCATCTATGGCACAGCCTGTTGGACTCCGTGGTGATGTAGGAAACTGCCCTGCAAGCCAGAGTGCCCATTTTGTGTCAGACGGGCCATGGCAGTGCCCCCGGGACAGGGAGGGATAGGAGCCGGTCCTCGGCCCTGTGCACACGCAGCGGGTCATCCTTCGGGGGACTCTCTCCAATGGGCAAGGGTCGGAATCCTCCCCCCTTGTGCTATAGATAAACCCACAGGGTAAGTCACAGACTTGTTGCAAGTGATTGCGCAACCTTTTGTCATGAAAGACACGATTCACCAAGGCACTCCGAGCATTTGATCACTGTTGCGTGAATGGGTTTTTGTTTTTAAGTCAAATGCACCGGTAAACGGTTTTGTGAGGGGAGGCGAGTGATCTGACCCAGAGAGTCCCATCCCAGTGGGAGTTCACCCCAGACCAGGTCTGGGGGCCGCCAGCCAGCCACTGTGCCAGGCCCTGCTGACATGTCCCTGGCAGGCGGTGCTCTGGGTCCCTCCCCACCAGCCCCTGGCTGCTTGGAAGGCCCTGCCTGTCTCTCCCTGGCAGCACTCCATCCTGCCGGTGGGGCAGGCGGGGAGGAAGGCGAGGCCTGGCGCCCCCTGGCCGGGCCCCTGCTCCCAGGGCTGGAAACAAGTCCGGCCCCATCTCCCCACTGGGAACTGGGCCAACCCAGCTGCTTCCCACAGCCCCTCCCTGACTCACCCCAGCCTGTTTCTCACCGCCCAGCCCCAGGATTCTGTCCCTGGTTCGGGGGAGCCCCCCACCCGCACCCTGCTGCTTCTCCCCGTTTTTCTGAGGTTTGGCGTTCCTGAGGCTCCCCCACAACCCAAACACTCCTTGTGTCTCTCAGAGCAAGGCAGCCTTGGGCCGCAGACCAGCTCCCTGAATAGGCTCCCGCCCCGGGAAGCTGGCAGAGGGAAGCGTCTTGTTTACCCTGATGCCCCTGAGCCAGGTGAGGGGAGCCCGAGGACAGACTCACAAAGACCGAGGGGTGCCCCTCCCTCAGGTGGCTGCCCTGCTCCCCGAGGTGCGAGGGCCAGCTTCCCCGGGAGGTCGGAGGGAGCTGGGTGTGTGTCTTCACCATCCCATCCCAGGAGTTGCTCAATCAATGGTGAATAAACGAAGGAAACAGTGGATTCTGGGTCCACGGGAGGGGCTTTCCTTGCAGGACGATAAACAGCCCGTGTGTGGGAATGTGCCTTCAGGAAGAACAAACATCAACCAGTGTTGCCCTTGTTTACAAGGCTGTGTGGACAGCGTGGAGGCTGGAGCCCACTGGCCTAACCTGCTTAAGAGCCCGGGATTTATAAACTGGCGGTCAGGGCTGAATCCAAACAGGATTCCTCCCCAGAGCACGTCTGTGACATCTTGAGAAATGTATGGGTTTGTCCCGGGTCAGTGTCTCCAGGCTAACGCGAGAGGAACAGTGCACTTCTTAATACTTCCGCTTGCCCCTCCTTTAACCAAGAAAAGCTCTCGAGGAACACACTTGCCCCATAAGACCAATGTCCATCGAACATCTGCCATGAATGCGCCCCAGAGACTGTGTAAGCCCACCGCAAGCATTGCCGTGGTCGCCTTCTCCCCACCCTTGAGTACGGGCATGTTTCCTCACGGTGCAGGTGAGAACACGGAAGCTGAGGAGATGAGTAACAGCCCCAGACTCACACACAGCAGGAAAGTGGGAGAGGCTGGCCCCCCCAGAGAGGTCCGAGGCCAGAGCCTGTGCTTTCTACCTCCAGAGGGGGCCCCCGCTGGACACCCGTTTCTGGGTCACCTCTCTGGGCCTCCATTTGCTCCTTTGTAAAATGCAGAGTCTGACAATGTTTCTCAAAATTTCTCACTAAAGGTCAGGGCCCCGTCCCGCTCTGGGTGGCGGTGGGCAGTGCGTTCTGCGTTCCTTGGACTCTGCCCGAGCCAAGCGGGGGCAGCCAGGCTCCAGGGTTGGTGGGGATCTGGGTCATGGTGGTTCGGGGCCCGCGGGGGGCTGGCGCCAGGTGAGCAGGGCGGCTGGGGAGGAGAGTCGGGGAAAAAAAAAATCTCACTAAAGCTGCTACTGTGTCTTGGAAATTTTAAATTGTATTCTTTATTTTTATTTATTGATGAGAGAGACAGAGAAACATCGATTTGTTATTCCACTCATTCATGCATTCATTGATTCTTTTAAAAAATATATTTTTATTGATTTCAGAGAGGAAGGGAGAAGGAGAGAGAGAGAGAAACATCAATGATGAGAGAGAACAATTGATGGGCTGCCTTCTTCATGCCCCTACTGGGGTTGGAGCCTGACCCCGAAACCCAGGCATATGCCCAGGCCGGGATCGAACTGTGAACTCCTGGTTCTTAGGTTGATGCTCAACCACTGGGCATCACTGACTGATTTTTCTAGGTGCCCTGACCTGCAACGTTGGTGTATCGGGACTAAGCTCTAACCAACTAAGCCACCCAGCCAGGGCCTCATCTTTATTTTTATTTACGTGACTCTGTTGTCTTCTTTTGAAAATGAAGGAACTGCCATGCCTGAAGGTTAAACTTGCCAGAGGTGTCCCGGCCAGCGAGGGGCAATGCCAGACCCCAACCAGGGCTGGCTGAGTGAGCAGGCTTCGCGTTCCCCAGCCCCGCTGCCCCCACACCGGGCGGGGCGCCGCGCAGGGCCCCCACCCCACGGGGTTCAGTGGGCGCTGTCTCTGCTCGCGGTGCTGACGCTGCTCACCAGAACCCCGCGCTCCGGGCTCTGCCGGTTAAACCTGTGCCGGCTGCAGCCCTGTGGGTAACTAGGAAAGTCAGAGGCGCTGAAGCCCTAGCCGTGTGCTCAGGGGACACATGTTGGGCCCCGCACAGAAGGGCTGTAGCTTCCATCCCCAGCCCTGGGCCCTGGTTGGGGTGAATGTGGGAGGGGACCGATTGACGTGTCTTTCTCACGTCACGTCAATGTCTCTCTCCCCCACCCCTCTCTCCCTCCCTCCCACTCTCTCTAAAAATCAATGGGGAAATAACCTTGGGTGAGGATTAAAAAAAAAAAAGGTTTGGAAACTGGAAGGTTTCCCATAACTGTGTGAGCCGGGCCTGTCTGAGCTCTGCGGGGCCCTCGGGAGTCTTGACTGAGCCTGAGGAGGGATGTTGTGTTTTTGGCAGAGCTGTGTGTGCGTGTGTGTTTTATTTTTGTTTGTTTTTTGTCATACTTTCTGGTTGGTTGCTTTTGATCCCGGAACCTGCTGTGGGAGGTTTATCATGGACAGTTTAGAAACTTCTAGAATCTGAAAAATTCTGAAACACATTTGGCCCCAAGAGCTTCTGATAAGGGAACGGGAAGTAGATATTGTAATCGGATACTAGTTATAAGAAAGCTGCAAAAATGAAGAGCTTACACCTGGTTTTAAGAGGCATTGTGTGAAGGCGGTCCCGGACCACAGGGCGCCCGTGGCTGAGGTTGGTGCCCGCGGCGTGAAGTTGGTGGGACGCTCCCCTCACTCCAGTTGCGCTTTGGGAAGTCTGTTTCCGCATCGAGAGGCGCTGGTCCTCTGACTTCCTGGGTACTGTTTGCAGGCCTTTGGCACGAGGCAGAGATGCCTCTCAGTTTCTGGACTGGGAACTATCCAGATGGAGCAGAGGAGATGAGAAGTGCCCTGGGAGTGCAGTGGACAGAGGCCCGGAGGAAAGGATCCAAAAAGCCTTGATTGCTGGCCTCCGGGGTCCTGATCCAGGACCCCACCCTACCGCCAGGGGGGCAGCAGCAACAGCAGGAG